CCGTGAGTTTTAAGCCACCAGGTCTGGGACTCGAACCACGGTCGACTACATGGGAGTCCAGCGACATAGCCATTACACTAACTGCTGGTCCCATATTTAGGGATTTTTTTAATTTACTACTACCACTATTATTATTATTAATTTCTTATAGGATATGTGTGCTCACCAGAGAGAAAGAGAGTGACCCAGCAAGCTGCCAGGTCCAGGATTCAAACTGTGGTCCACCATGGGGAGTGCAACCCCTCAACTACCACGCCACCTGCTGGCCCTGGCCCTGCTTAATTTTCATTAATTCAAATTGCAGTAGCTACATGTGGCTAGTGGCTACTGTTCTTGGACAGCACAGCTCTTGAAGCAGTGATTCTCAGCCTCCATTGCCCAGGAAGTGCAGTTGGGAGCCATCTAGGACTCCAGGTGCCAACAGCAACTAAGTAAGAATCTTGGTATTCATAAAGCTCTCTGGGCAATTCTAAGGGCAAAGGTGAGAGTAATTGCTCTGAAAAGGGCTTGGCAAACCATGGCGCTCGAGACTCACCTGGGGCGTTCAGATTCTTGGTCTGTGGAGAAAGTGTAGCTACTGGTCCCTGGGCCACACCGGCTAGGGACTCTCACCTGCCTTCCCATCCCTGATTCCAACATTGAGCCCAGTGATAGGACAGGATTTGCTTTCAGAGTTTATGATCTAGTTAGGGATATCATTCGCATGTAAAAAATTTCAAATAGGGCCCAGCAGGTGGCATGGTGGTTAAGAGCGCTGGATTCCCACGTGGCTGACCATGCTTCAAGTCCCAGACCTGGTGACTTATTTTCTCACTTTCTCTTTCTCTCTCTCTGGTCAAATAATAATAATAACAAATGGAATTAAATAAATAAATAATTCTTTAAAAAATTTTATAAAGCAATTAAAGGTTTTTTTTTTTTTGAGAGGTTTTTGCTATAGGGCACGTGCGCTCGCCAGACAGACAGAGAGAGACAGAAAGCGAGAAATCACCCCTCAGGGGAGATGGCCATGCCGCAATCCCTTCTCTATCCTCCTCTCAGGATCTTGGGCACACTCGCACACGCACCCGGCGTGAGTTCTAAGCCACCGGGTCCAGGACGCGAACCGCGGTCGACTACGTGGGAGTCCAGCGACATAGCCATTACGCTAACTGCTTTGTAATTAAAGCTTTGAGGTAAATAAAATAGGATAGTGACAAACGGTGTGCATGTAGCTTTTTGCTTTAAGGAGCCTGCAGGCTGAAAAGGAAGAAGACACAGCTAGTGTAAGTCCCGGAGGCAAAACAAGCCTGCAGAAGTATGAATGGGGTAAACAGGAAGTGATGTAAGAAACTGGAGGAGAACATTGATGAACATGGTATAAAATGTAGATCTTAGGCTTCCAGCCCAACACCTGGTGAGAATCCATCTATGTCTGAGGTGGGCCCAGCCTTGCTCCATTAACTGAAGCACCTCTGCTCCAACTCCTCCTTACAACCCAACTCCTAGTGAGAATCCACCTGCGTCTGACGTGGGCCTGGCCCTGCTCCATTAACTGAAGCACCTCTGCTCCAACCGCTCCTCCTAGCCCAAACCCAGTGGGAATCCACCTACATCTGAGGTGGGCCTGGCCCTGCTCCTTTAACTGCTCCAACGGCTCCTTCCAGCCCAACACCTAGTGAGGTAGGGAGGGTGGTCTCTGTCTTCTTTCTGTTTCTGTTTCTCTTTCTCTCAAAATTTTATATATATAAAATATATAAATAAATTTATAAAAATATGTAAATGAATTTAAATGTTTCTCTTTCTTAAATAAATTTATAAAAATATATAAATAAATTAAATATATGTGTGTGTATATGTATATATATATTAATCTGTAAGTACTGTCTCTTGTCTCTGACCTCCTCTTTATCTTGCTAATTGCAGAATCCATCTACGTCTGAGGTGGGCCTGGTCTTGCTCCTTCATGTGGCACACTTGTACACCACATGTTTTTCATTTATTGCCTTTTAAACAAATTTTTTCCCTTTTTATTGGTTGTTTTTGTCTCTTTTTTTTTCCATTTGTTTGTCTTTTCCCCTTTGTTTTCTTTTCTTTTACCTGACTTTCTCACTTTGTTTCTCAGCTTCCAC